AATGTACTGACACAAATGTCTCCTGTTAATTTCATGGTCAATCTGAACACACAAAACCAAGACAAATGGATAGCACTTATTCTAAATAGGATGCATGGTAATAAATGACTCTTAGCATTTATCTTTAAGTCAGGTGTAGTCCATGAAAAGATGACAGAAGCTTTGTCTATTTTCCAGAATACAGGGACCAAGAGAAGCATTTAAATGAGATGTCCTCTTCCCCTAGCCCTGGGATGTTCTGCAATAGCAACTCTGAACCCACAGATCCAGAGAAGTCTCCAAGACAACCTGTGTGCTCTCAGATGTTTAATCTTATTTGATAAAGGAAAAACAAACAACAACAACAAAAAAAAAACACCAAAACACCACAAACAACAAAACAACAACAAAAAACCTAAACCCAAACAACAAAATGAGAACCTAGAGCAGAATTATTCAGTATTACAACAAAGAGCCTCTGCTGCCAATTGCCGTATTGCAGAGGTACTTAGCACTAACCACAATGTCAGCCTGTGGTTTGATCTGCTGCCAGCATACACGGACTTTCACACAGGTTCTTCTTCGGTGTGTGTACTCCATCATCATTTATACTCCCCAGTCACAGAGATACATCTGTTCCAGTAGTCTGGCAGTGTTTTGGACAATCACTTTTATGTGAACAACATGTGTGAGATGCTCACGCTGTCAGATCTAGCTCTGCCAGACACATCCTTGACAATGTCTGCTGAACCATGGGGTGCAAGAGGATAACTGAGACAAAGTGATGCTTTTCTAAGGCTGACTAGAGACCCAGGGATGACAAGGAAGACTTCATTTTAGATATTTGTGTACGTCACACTATCTTCCAGACTGCTGCAGGGTCCTGGGAACTGCTCAGTATTACCAGCAGTCTGAATAGCTTTGAAACCATCGACCCATTGGCCAATACCTAACAGATCATCTTATATCCAGAAAATTCTGCATCCATCTGATTTATAATGGAAGTCCTGAAGATTAGGTTCCTGCTGGTTAAAAACATGTTTTGTAACATGTTTTTTAAAAGAATCAATGTCGGGCAAATTCCCTCCAATTGCTGAAAGTGTGGAGTTATCCACAGAGAAGTGATTCTGAAAATCCTTCACAATAAATGGTGATTATTGTGGCTTTAGAAAGTCATTGAGCTTGTTCCTATATATTTTCCCAGACTAGTAAAATGCACACCCCTTCACTAAGGAAGGGAAACTAGAAAATTGAGAAAATTGTTTTTCTTGTGAAATAGATATGGTTATATACACTGCTGTGAGAAAGATATCCCCCCTCTTCCCATTTGATTTGAAACAGACTTTTTTTCAGGTAAGGAAGATAATGTTTCAAATGAAATGAAATATTTTGTTCTCAGATTACTTAAGTCCTCTATAAACACTCGGTGATCTTGTCACAAAAAGTCATAACGCTTTACTTAGAAAATACCAAAATTGATATTTTTACATTATTAAAAGCAATGTCTTATGATTTGGGTTTTTTCCTTAGCCATAATTTTCATTTCAGTTAGACCCAAATTAACAAGTCCTTCCGTTTCCTACTATAAAAGCATTCTTAGAAAAATCTACATTTCAGTGTAGAATTATTACCTCACTGGAAGGTAGAAGAACAGCCTGTTCACACTAGTAGCTGGAACAGCAGGTGATGTTTCAGTCCCATTGCCACAACAGCAGACAGATAGTTCAGGGGGGGGATTAAAAGTAAGTTGTGAAGCAGATAAGAGAAGCCCTAAGGAGCAGAAAGGATCTGCATGGAAAATGGGGTTAGTCTATTGATAGGAATACTTGACTGCACAGTCAGCAGTTTTCTCATTCCTATTTAACACAGTCAGAAATTAGGCTGCATCCAGATAAGTTAATTGGAAACCACTACCTGAAAAAATGGCCAAGATGGAATATTAAGGTTCTTTGGGAAGGTGCAGAGGGATGGTAATCATTAGGTAAAAACATGTAAGATTGAATATGTTAAGAAAGGTGGAATATACCATTCAGTACAGATCTGGGCATCTTAGACAGCTATCATAAAACCACAACATGCCATTCCAAATAATAGGAGGCTTCATATGAAGGCTACACAGGCAATGAAACTGGAAAACCTTGAGTCCTCACTAGAAACTCCTCTCAGAAAATCTTCACCCAATATTTTAAGACGTGGATCACAAAAAAGCAATGTCTTGTAGTCAGACACTAAAGTGTAATTCAGAGTATAATCTTTCCTTGTGAAGAAAACAGAATCTTTCAGTTGGTATGCTTTAAGCAACCAATTGATATTTTTCGTTTTGAAAGAATGAAATCCGGCATATTTAAGAATAGCAAATTTACTACTTAAGCTGCTAATCTTGTTTCTAGTCTTAATTTTAAAAAAAACCCAAAAGTAGGAAAGATAAGTCCGTGCTTATATACAGCAGTGCAGGCACATTAAGAAATTATGCAGAAAGAAACAATTCAGAAAACAGTCATAAAGCAAGGAGGAATATTCCTTCTAGCACTGAAATTAAAACTAATGAGCCCTCACTCATGCAAACAAGATCGAATTCAGTCCATCTTGTACAACTGCTACATGTCCTCCATCCAAAACATGAGCCAAAAGCAAGTTAGCTGGTTAACCAGTACTGCCAAGTACTACTCTCAGGTCCTAAAACAGCAACAGTAGTAACACATCTAAACTGGGAGCAGCAGCAGTTGCCAAACTGTGCTGTCCAATATCTTTAAGACATCACTTTTTAGAAATACTATTTTGAGAACCTTAGTGACAGTGGTAGCATCTAATATGGTGCCATTAATATCTTCAGAGCAGTATCAATCTTGCTTAAAGGCAGCAGAGTCTTCAGAACAAGACTGAATCTTTTCCAAAAGGTACATCAATACCAATTTGTAAGGAAAGTAGTGTTTAAAAAGGGTGAAGTGAATGGTGCCAAACCTGACGAAGCAGCATTGAAGCATAAGAGAAAGGTATGGCTAGGTGCTCCCATGCTGGGAAAGGAGAAGAAATGGAATGTGGAAAGAAGAAGGATGGATTTCAAAAGTAATGTTATGGCATACAGGAGCCATAAAATATTATTATGGAAAAGGCAAAGAAAATTAGAGTCCAACAGCAGTCTTGGAAGATCCAGCAATAAAGCAAGCCAAGAGATTCTGTATCCTGGCTGATGAAGCAACTGAAAATGCCTTAAAATGCAGCTTGTGCATAGATTGCTAAAAGAAGCTCAAGAACCTCTAATTTTTTTATTTCTTTTTTCAAAGAAAACATCCAACCTCCTTCCACTCTGCTAATCCCATGCCAAGGAAGTAACTTTTTTTTTTCTAAATTGATCTATGCTCAGTATAAACACATTCTGTATGCCACTATCTTCAGAACTCAGCTGCAGTTTGTCCTCGTTGTAGCCATTTTTTGTTTCCATGAACAGAGAAGAAAAAAGAACAATATTTCCATGCTCATCATTTAGGTAATAAAAACCAAACAAACAACAAAAAAATCCAAAGTACCCTAAACCTATTTTTTCCTTTCTGCTACATAGGTCTTGAATATAATAAACTAAGAAACACTCCTTCCCAGCTTCCACTATCATATTTCAGCTACCATTTGCCAAACATTGCAAAAGCTGGAAAACAAGGGGGACATCGGGAAAACAGGAATATCCGAATGATCTCAGGACACATTTAACTCAGCATCCCCCTTTCCCTCAAGAGTTTGTCACCTCTCAGAGATGTGTCTAACTTAAAGCCATTCATTGATTGCCAAAACTGTCACTCATTCATAATGCATAAGCACACAGGTGGGTTTGTTAATAACTCCTGCTATACATAATTTCATTTGCAATGCATACTTTCATTTTTTTTTTAATTCTAAATTATTTCTAAGGAATTATCCAAAGGGTTTCCATTTCACCTGTGAATTTTTAAAAAAAATATTTTTATTTTTAAAAAAATCAAGTGAACAGCTGGACTATGACTCAAACACTAAAAAAATACCTTTAAAATACAATCAATCTAACTCTTATTCCTAATAATTAGTACAAGGAATGGCTTAGGTATTCCATAGTGAAACATACCCTCCCACCCCACTCTACCCTCAAAACAAAGAATTTCTGATTTTAAGCAGATAAATCAGAACTGTTATTCATGTAGTAGCAAATATGCAAACCAGAACACCTTCCAGTTACATCTTTGGTTTTGCTGCCTTTTGTTTAATACTATAACCACACACAACTGTTAACAGCTAACATGCAGATTTGTAAGTTATCAATAACAGCTCAGTAGTCCTATTCAATAACCAAGGGATTGCATATCTGAAAAACCTGTTGCCTTTAAAAATGAATAAAATTAATTACACAGTAATCTTCAACACATAGCATTTGCATAAAATTAAGCATGGGCCTGATCAGGGCAACTCACACAAGCGGTCCTGTTCAAGTGGCCAGTGTCACTTGCGTATGTAATAGCCTGTGGTTTGCATTTTAAGTTAAAGCATCTTAATTTGGTTGGTTGTACAATTGATAACTGACACACTTTTTGGTTTATGGCTTCTGGAACTCTCCTGCTAAATTCATAAGCTTCAGATTGCTTTAATAACAACTTGTAATTAAAAGAACACAGACAACCTTTTCCTCAGTAAATGTTTTACCCCATCACTTGGAGATCGATTTGGGAGTCACTTTACTGTGTAGCTTTTGTCAAAGCCTTTTTTTCCCCCCCTAAAAAAATAATCAAATAAAACCAAATGAAAACAAGAAACAAACCCACTATTTCATGCCTCGATAACAATTTTTCCACTTCCAGTAATAACTTGAATTTGTACTTTTAAACTTGCTTAGAAAACGCCATTATCATAAACTGCATATTGCTTAGGACTCTTTAACTACTTAATTAGATACTAAAACACTGTGAAAAAGCTGACATTGTATTAGAAGAGAAGCAAAATGAGCCAAACTCCACAGGACTCCCACCCTTTTACTCACAAGTGTTTTTGTAAGCCCTTACCTGCTGGGTAACGTTCGATAACTGGCCAGTTGTCCACCTGCAATGTGGCATTACCACCACTTCTTGTGAAACGTACTACATGGTATTTTCCATCATTAATGATTGCGTTGATCTCTTCAATAGAGATGTCATCAGTTCCAACATTAAATTTAACTCCAATTTTTCCCTGGTGCTGCATATTTAAAAAAAAAAAAAAAAAAAAAAAAAAAAAGAACTAATTAAGAGTTGTTTTAGCAAGAAATAGAGACAGAGTGTCATACAGAGAAAGATTTCTAACAACATCTTTCCTCCTCAGATGTAACTTCTGAAGGCTTGCATGTGGCAGTGACAAGCCTCCTGACAGCTCAGTAAGTCCAGGATGTCTCTTTGATGGATAATTGATATTCCAAATGAGTTATTTCACCAAATTGAGGTCTCTCCTTTCCTAAGAGATTCAGACCAATATGAGGAAAGGGGGAAGGAGGAGAAAAGTTCAAGTTTTCTTTCACACCTCCATGAGGATTCAACACCATTTTTCATTTTAGAGTTTCAAAAGGGAAAGCCATGCAGGGTCAGTGTGAAGGGGTACAAGGATTTTCTGGCTATAAAAGCGAAGGCCTTGCCCTGCACCTCCTTTCTGCAAAACTCATTCATACTCAGAGTCTTCACAAATTATAACAAAGGAGGGAAAGTGTGGGTTTTTTTCCTACTTAAAAGGTTTTTTTTCAATACACCATAGTAGCACCAAATCATTAAGACAAGAACAGACTGAGAGACTCACAAATGACTAACAAATGCAAAAGGTGTTTGTGACGCAGGGACAGCATCTTTTTCCCACTAAGGACTGATTTTTTTTTTTTTTTCTGGCATTTGCCTGTAAACCCCTGTGCCCAAGTACACTTAGGGCTAAAGGGACCTCCCATGCACATTCTTACTCGGGACCAAGGCTGTAGATTTTCCACATACCTGATATTGGCACGTTTTCATTTTTATTATATATTAATTATAAAGATGTTCATTCTATCAGGACATGTACATTTTAACAAAAGCTTTTAAAGTCTATAAAGAGTTTAACTTATGGGCTTCATGATACCTTTTTTTTTCTCCTATAAAATTAATTCTATTCCTGAATAAGGATATTTATTAAATTGAGGAAAAAAAAAAGAAAAGCACTGGACTTTATGAGACATGGGGCTTATAATAAGTGTCAATTCTATGTGAAATTTCATGTCATTAGCACTGCTGTATATTTCTTAAGAGTGATAAAACTTCTTAAAGTTTTTACACTACCAGATGAAACAGAATGAAATATTTCACTTTGTGCCTCTTGGTCACTCACATTAACCTTCTAGAACAAGCATCACCTCTCCCTCACAGCTTTTGTGTCTGCTCTCTCTTTCTCTTACTAATCTGGCACCATTCCCTACTAGTAAATGTACCCTGCAGCTTCTCATCTCTGGAAGTCTCCCAAGTGAAGAACTCAGGAGTTCTTCCACTTCATTTTATTATCTTTTTGAATACCTGACTTCATTTTCCAATACTGCTTGCATATTCCAGTTACCCAGTGGAGCAGCTGCTGACAACCTTTGCAGAAAGTCCCTCAACATTTTTTGGAATATGCTATCACCTCTTCAGCTATGATCTTTTTTGAAACAATAAAAGGACCATTTCCTGCTGAGATTTGCAGAATGACTCTGAAAAGGATTTTTTTTAGTTGCATAAATAATGTTCTAAGCATTCCTCTTTTTTCTCCTTGTGGATTCTTTTAACATTTCTCTGTTGGCTGGTCCTAATTTTTTATGCCTATGGGGTGTCAGTAAGGGGTCCACGTCATCCAGCAAATGCTCACCTTCTTTTACTTCTGGTAGGAATTGCAGAGCAATCTCCCAGTTACCTTGTGAGACTAACTGCAGCTCTATTTTATTTCAACTGTTTCAAATATGACTCAGAATAGAATTCACCCATTTTCTCCCACAGATACAGTAGTTCATTTGCTTCACCTATTTCATTCATATGCTTACTCTCTTTATACAGAAATGTATACAAAGAAATATAACATTGTCCTGGCTCTAAATCAATCTCCTCTTTTATTAATTTATGAAATGCAGAAAACCAGCATGTAATGATAATGGCATATGCACCTTTTCACAGTACATTCAAGAAATCAAAGGCATTGAGGATTAAAAAAGGCTGACTAATTTTACAGTGATTCATAATTATACTATTCATAACCTATACTTTACATAGCTGCTTTCCTATTTGCTATATATATATATATATGTATATACATATATTATTTTAGATCAAAAAATGACAAGGAAAAAAAACCCAAAACTGACACCTTTGAGTGAATAGGACAGGTGCAAGCAAAATTAAGTGGCATGGAAGGCAAATATATCAGCAGCTTTTCCAAAATAAGGGAATGTGACATTGTAATTGTTACCAAGTTACCATTTGTAAATGGCTAGATATTGGCAAATGAAATTAATGCTTTACAGACTCGAAATCAGATCTTTAGCCTTACTTGAAGCATACACACTTTTCACTAAAAAAGGACAAGTTTCCCTGACTTTTCTAAATTTGTAGAGAAGTATTGTGCACAAACACCAAGCACACAGATGCAATAGCAAAGAATATCATCCTAATAATTGATAACATCCTATAGTGACTGTTTTTCCCCTAATATATTTGTGTAGCTGAGAATATGAAAAACTCCATGTTTAAAGGATATGTTTCATTTTTCATGCCTCTTCAGGACCTGTGGGCATTCATATAACCTCCCATAAAACAAGGAAGCAAATCTGGGTTTTGAGTTCAAGTCTTCCTTATTGTTATAACAATTTTGACTTCTGAACATCACACTAAACATGGTATGGACTACAACCCCATTGTGCACACCCTTTCAGAATTGCATAATAAAATATGATGTAACGACCTGACAGTAAAAGGGCACAAACAGAGGATAACACTGCCACAAAGCAGTAAGTCACCGTGTCTTGGCTGAGTTGCAATAAGCACCTCTGTGTGTAGACAGTGTTTTTCTCAAGCACTTGCATAATCATGCAGTAGTTTGACTCACTGTATTCCTCCTTCACTGCAACATAAGTCACGTCTTTTTTAAACTGTCAGTGGTTACGATCATGTGGACATACAGTTATTGTGGATCAGCTGATATACAGTAGCCTGTTGAGATAACCTGATCTCAGCCCTCAGCCCTTTGAAGATTAATCTAATGGGCTGTAGCCTGTTAGAAAGAACTGCTTTTTATTTTTCCTTCTTTTCTGGAGCAACATAGTAGTGCAGAAAGGGGAGAGAGTAATAAAACTGAAGCATACTAAATTACTGCTTTGCCAGCCTCAGTTGGGTAGTGCAGCAGTAGAATTTTTCCTTTATCACTTGTTCATTCATAATAATCTTAAAAGTCATTCTTCCTATCAGAAATAGCCCCAGACAAATGCTGAATGAGAGGTTCCATCTTCAGCACCCCAATGATAGGCACTATAGAAATGTCTGTGTGTTACTAAGTACCATAGTAAGTCAACAGTACCATGGAATGATGTTATCCTTGCCAGTGACCTGAAATAGCACAGCATTTCAGACTCATATTTTGAGGATGTTATGCTTGCCCAATAGCAAAAATGATCTTTTCAGAGCTCTCCTGGTAAAAATCATCTCTGTACGCAGGGTCCACAGATGTTCACCATGCTGTTTATGGTTCTTAGCCTGTGTTTTATTTTTCTCATTCTCACACAGCTGTGAGAAAGCAGAACAATGAAATAAATTCTTTTCCTACTGTGTGTTTATCTAATCTGAACTGAGAAAGCCACAGAGTGGAGACATGTAGGAGATGGGACAGTGTCCAGTATTATTTCCAAGACAGGCTAGAAGAGAGGACACACTTTGAAGAGAAGAGTGAAGCATTTCAAGAATTCGTGTAAATGTTGTTCTCTGTCTCTGGAAATTATTCTGAACTTCAAATCAAAAGGCACTATGAATACTGCTACAACCATCACATCGCCATCACCAATCCTTGGCACAAAGCAGTGCAGGAACCTCCAATTCATCTACACGCAAGCTGAGTGACACAGAGCCTCAACCATCAGCTCCTCAGAAAAACAAAACTTTTTGTTTGGAAGTACTTTGGCCATGTAGCTTTCCTGTTTCTGAGGCTAGGGTGACTTTCTCTCCACAGTACCCACAGAGGCAGATTTGGTGGTGTTACCTAAAGTACTGCTACACATTACTGCAACAGGCAAAGGAGGCTTTGCCTACAGTTCAATTGCTGCTGCCCAGTCACCTGTGAGGGTCCAAGCTCAAAGGTAAGGATAAATATTTTAATGGCTTCAAAGAATTTGCATAAAAACATGAGATATACATGTTTAGCTCCAATCCTATGTTCCTAAGGTGCTCTGAAACGCTAGGAGTTTTCATTGCTCAGACAATCTATGGGGGTGTGTGTGCACGTGTATATGACAACCATTTCAAACCATTTTGTCTTCAAAAGCACTGGCAGCTACTGTTGTAATCTACAACCCCAGTGGAATATTTTCAAGCAAGTTTTATCGATTTTTGTACTCGAAATACTTCTGCCTTGGCATGAAGAGACTTCTATGAAGCACAGGAGTTCAGTGCTAGTGATATGCCAGCTCCTAATGCCGTAAAACCTATGCTAGTATAAAAATAAATAAATATATACATACATGTATACATAATGTCCAGAATGACGACATTTTCTATAGCATCAGCAAGGCTTTACTGCTCTCTGTAGTAATAGTTCCAGAATCAGTCAAACATGAGTGTGTGCAAACTTAGCACAATAGTAGTTTTAGAAGAGACCACAGACAACCTAAGCTTATAATACTTATAACCTTTAACCACTTCAAAAAAGAAGTAATAATACTTTGACTCCCACAGGTGAATAAATAGAGGAAAAGAAATTCAAGCATGGCAGCTTGCATCTTACAGCATCAGTCCCTGAGGAACAACTTTTCTGGTGAACGTGATAACAAAGTCTTAGAACAAACTGATGGTTTACTTTTCTTTTATTAAAGAATATGTTTCTTGAGTTTTATTAAGAAGAGTGAGATCATTTTCACTCACTGTAATCAGTGGCTAATACTTTATACTATAGAAATGTATGCAAAATAATTAATTTTTGGTTTTCTGAATCCTGTAAGGAAGTGCATATGTAAA